CCAGGCCTAAGCCAATGCTTGTTGTCCCGGGGCCCTGGGCGCTGCGGGCACTCGAGCCCGACCTGGCGTCTGGACACCGCACGAACGGCTAGTGGGCTGCGGGGACACCTCTGAACTTTCACCCCGGGTGCGCCCCTACGCAAGAGCGTCGTTGCCATGGTGACGTGACGTTCCCTGGCCTGGGCCGGCTGGACATGCAGTCGCCATTTTGGGGGGCTTCACTCGCTTCGTGTAGGTGACGTTGCGTGATCCCTGACTCTAGAGTATAGTATGACTCCAGTCTCAGGGTCCTGGCCCTCACTACCCAACAGACTCACATAATGAATGCTATTAAAGTCATATGCTGTGCCTACTGTTAAATTTAGAAAATGTGCAAGTCCATACAGGACTACATCCTTTCATCACATTTGTCAGACCCTGTGTTTACAATTTGAAAGTTTGTTGCAACTTTGCCAGGATCAAGTTTGTGTCATTTCAACGTTGTGTACCTTGTGTTACATTTTGGTAATTTTTGTTTCAAACTTTCACGGTCATATAATGGTAATCGGTAATTTTTGATGTTACAGTTGTTTGCAGGAAAACTACGAACCACACCCATTTAAGACAGTGAACTGTCACTAGGTAAATATGTTTTGACTGTACTACAGACCAGCTATTCTCATTTTTCTCTTTTTTCTTTTGGGCCTCCCTATTCTCTTAGACACAACACTATTGAAATTAGGCCAATTAATAACCCTAAGGTGGTCTGTAGGTGAGCACATGAGAGGAATGGTTGAATAGCTGTCACTTTAAATGAAAAGCTGGACATGATTTAGTGAAGAAGGCATGTTAAAACCTGAGACAAGCCTAAATCTAGGCTTCTTGCAGCATTTAGCTAAATTGTGACTACAAAAGGAAAGTGTCTGAAGGAAATTAAAGGAACTACTCCAGGGAACACACGAATGAATAGAAAGAAAAATAGACAAGTCTAATACAAAGTTTTAGTGGTTTAGTTGGAAGAGTTAACTAGCCACAACATCCCTTTAAACCAGAGCCTAATCCTAAACAAAGCCCTAACTATATTCAGTTCTGTGAAGGCTGAGGGAGGTGAGGAAGCTACAGAAGAAAAGTTTGAAGCTGGAAGAGGTTGGTTCAGGGGGACAGAAGCCATTTCTATAACATAAAAGCCATTTTTATAAAAGTGGAAGTGCTAATGTAAACGCTGCTGCAAATTTTTCAGAAGTTGTAGCTAAAATAATTCATGAAAGTGGTTGTAATAACAGATTTCCAATGCAGAAGTGGAGTCTGAAGATGTGACTGAATTATTGTGATCACAGAATAAAACTTTGATGTGGCATTGCTTCTTACATATGAGCAATGAAAGTGGTTTCTTGAGATGGAATCCAGTCCTGAACATGCTGTGAACATTGTTGAAATGACAAAAAAGAAATCAGAGTATTATGTAAAGTTGGTTGATAAAGCAGCACCAGGGTTTGAAAGGCTGACTCCAACTTTAAAAGAAGTTCTATTGTGGGTAAAATGCTATCAAATAACATCACATCTTCAGACATATAGAGGATTCTTTCATGAAAGGGAGAAAAAAATTGATGCAGAAAACTTCATTACTGTCTTAAGAAACTGCCACAGGCACCCAAACCTTCAGCAACCACCAACCTGATCAGTCAGCAATAATTAACATAAAAGGACAATCTTGGACCAGCAAAAAAATTATGACTGGCTAAAGGATCATATGATCATTAGCACTTTTAGCAGTAAAGTATTTCTTAAAGTATATACTGTACATTGTTTTTGCAGACGTAAGAAAACGTTTATATACATGGAGAAATCAAAAATATTGTGACTTATTTTGAAATTGTGCTTCATTGAGGTGGTTTGGAGCCAAATCTGCAATTTCTCCTAGGAATGTCTTACATATGCTATCAGCCCTTTATCGCATCTTCCATGGGTGGATTTGTGACTAATTCTTAAGTACAATGAACCAAAATGTCTGTCACTGAAACATGTTACTAAGTGTTTATTAAGGCAAAATCACTGTGTTTAAGTATGTTTTAAAGCCATGGCTAATTTATATCAGTGTGGCATTCATTTCACATCCAGTAATATTTGTGTGATGGTTGCAAAGACTTCAGTTATTCTTCTTAAAGCTGTCCATATGCCCAGTGCTCAGCAGTCCCATTCTCCAGGAACCTTGATTTTCCTCCCATGTTCTGGACACCTTCCAGATTATTTCCTGGGACTCCTCAAGACGGTTCCTGAGAGCTTTAACAGCCTTTGGTCTCAGATGTCTTGGAGGCTCCTGTAAGTGAACTCCGAAGCCACTTTTGGTGTCAGGATACTTGTGTTTCCTCCTGTGATTGACACTCTATCACTTCTGCACACTTGGGAGTCACAAACAACTTGAGGACTGTCTCATTTGGATCTCTGTACTTCAAGTCTATATAACCGTTGTAGTTTGTTTGTTTGTTTGTCCCCCCACCTGTAGCTAAACTGGAATTGATGGCTTAGTTCTAAAGCATTTAGGTTTTCAGGTCACAATGGAGAAAATGTTAACATGGAAAGAAAGTCAAAGCTTGTTTCATAAAAAGTAGATAATTCTCTCTAGAGAGGGATTCTCTCTAGAGGGAAAGTGTAAAAGCAGAGAAGTAGGACACAGACATTCCCGGAAAATTAAAGATGGCTACAACTGAGTTTTAAAGAATAAGCTTGTCTTCCCCAATTCAAGTAGAAGATGTGACAGAGGACAGAGTCCAGGGAGGGGAACATTAGCTCATGAATTCATTTAACAAATGTTAGGAGCATGCATAGAATCAGTGCTTTATGTATCTCATCATTTTAACCTTATGAAGCAGCTTATTGTTCTCATTTCAAATATAACGAATCTGAGCTTCAGAAAAGTAAAACAAATTATGAAATCTGATGTCCAGCAAGGGATGAACTGTAAAGACATAAATATCTAAAGATATCAATCATTTAGGTTTAGATAACATTATCACCTGCCCGCTGTGTCTCATTCAACTATACTAATACAAGTTTTTCTACCTCTTCTAGGACTTGCATCCTCTGCTCAGTTAACACCATTACTCCTTTGGACACATCACTCCTGGATGACTTCTTTTTGGTACCGGGGATTCTGGATGACTTCTTTACTCTTCAAAATAGTTGATTGTCGACATCATCAGATCAGTCACATGAATACCACCATCAATGCTTTTCTACAATTTATTTCAATTCAATGGTATCTTCTTCAAAACCTGCTTTTTACTAATCTTACTCAGTACTTTCTCTTTACCTTCATTATTGCTCTGCATACTCCTCTCACCTTCATTATTGCTGTGAATATTATTTTTATCACCATGCTAACTCTAGACTTTCTTTGGAGCCATGCTGGATTGAACCTGCTGTGCAGTGTTGTATGCACTAAAGAACACACCACAAGCTTCACAACAAGTGTGCAAGGTGTGTGTGACCACAATCTCCACAAGAGGAAGCTAAGACCATGTGTCACATCAGGGAAGATGGTCACGGTCCCGTTAGTCCCCTGATGCAGAATGCAAGAACAGAAGCAAAATTGTACTGAATGCTTCTGTTAGTGAACTGAATTGTTTGCAAACAGAAGCATTTGTGAACCAATGCATTTCTGTATATCACTGTTTTTCTCCTCATCAAAATATGAAGTCAGTAACTGATTTCTTCCTTGTTTAAATGGATATGGGAACTTTATTCCAGATTAAAATAGTGGAAATTTAATAAAATGGTGTTCTTATTGTGATTAAAAAATGTAATGATTTTCATAGAGCTATGGAAAGCACATTTATTCAGTATTAATGATTTAAATTATAATTCACTACTTATAATTGCATTCACTATTATAGAGTGGTACCTTGATTGATGGACTTAATTCTTCCCATGATTCTAGTTGCAGAACTCATTCCACAATTCTGGTTGCGACCAAATTGCAAGGTACCGTATAATTCGCTACAAGTTACTTTATAACTTTTTACTGAGCAAGTCACAAAGTTTCCAGACTCCAGTGACTTTGCTCAATAATATTAGGTGATTGGGCCACTTATCTAAATTTCTATATAACTCTATATATTTGCTGTTTATGTTTCTGTTAAAGTTATCATTACCACAGTAGAAATAAAGAGTAAAACTTTTATTTTTGTGCAAGGAAATGTTTTACAATGCATACATTTTTCTAAATAATATATATAAGAAAACTTTATTGCTAAGCAGATTTAAACAAGACAATATTGTCATTGGAAAATGAAACTGTCATCTTCAGTATTGACCATTGTTTCTGAGACAGACAGTTGATTTTGTCACTATTAACATCAGGCAAGGTGTCACCTTCATCAGTATTTATTAAATACCAGCTATTTACCTTCTTGAGGGTCTTTCTTTAAGCTGAATTAAATAAAATGTGTCAAAGCCAGTATATTGTAAATATTTCTGCCTTGCAACGGTTCAAGCATTTTATTTTTAGCTCCTTTTTGATTAAAAGTAGTGGTCAAAGATGTTGAAGCCCTCAAAGATGATTTTGAAGATTAAGATGTGCCGGAGCTACCCAAAGAGTAATCAGAAACAATTAGAAAAAAATGTACCAAATGTCTCATGCTTTCTCTAAGCTTCATGGCAAATTACATTTAATATTTCAGGCTTGTTGCATTTAAAATAAGGCCTCCAACTAAGCAATTTTCAACACAACTCCAATCAAAAGATATTGCTTAAAATTCTCTTATTGCCATAGAAATGAAAAGAGTGATTGTCTATGTTGATTAGCCTTGAAGATT